CGTGTGCGCGTGTGCGTATGTGTGCGTGTGTGTGTGTGTGCGTGTGTCTGTCTGTCTGTCTGTCTGCCTGTGTTTGTGTTTGTGTGTCTGTGTGCCTGCGTGTCTGTGTGTCTGTGTGTTTGCGTATGAGTGTGTGCGAATGTGTGTGAACGTGCGTGTGTGAATATGCGCGTGTGTGAATGTGCGTGTGTGCGCGTGTGAATGTGCGTGTGCGTGCGTGCAGTCTGTTTGCTCCTCCACGGGAAGGAGACCCTGAGATCCGACGTTGCGAACCAATTAAAACATCGCGAGAAATCGCGATCGGTGCCCTGGACATTTTCGTTTCGTGTCATTCTGCGAGCCGGATCGATCTGCGAGGGCCTGGGGGCCCGCAAGCGGGCGAAAACGCCAATTTCGGAAAATAGCAACGCCTGGGTCTTAAAGGCGAACAGATCTCGCACACCAACGGCTCGGCCTCATCAGGGCCGTTCTATGCTCGCGCTCCGGCTTCTCGGGATTGGCGCAGGATCCTGTCTCGCCCGACCACCCGGCCCCCCACCAGGCCGCATCACCGGGGTTTGGTCAAGGGTGCGCGCCACAGGACCAGACTGCCACCATCCCTCCCTCCTTGGGGGGGCGCGTGATGGGGGAGCGATGACTGGGGGGGCAGCGAGGGCTGCCGACAACCATGAAGGGGCCCATTCGGGCCCCAGAGGGGGCCTTCAGGGCCCGAAAAGGGCACCTTTCTTCCTCCCCCATTTATGTCCCCCCATTACTTCGCGCCCAACCTCCTCCCTCCCTCTTGCCGCGCTGGCGAGAGAAGCGCGCCAGAGGCGGTGCAGAGGCGGGGCCGGAGGCACCGCCAGGGGGCCGTGGCGCCGATCCAACAAATTCACGCGGACCGTCGAACGGTCATGTTTATGTAATTGTGGATTTCTTTATTGCCTCTTTCGGGCGGGTCTGGGGAACAGGGGGAATAGTTCCAGAGCGTTCCGAAACGCGTTCAGAGCGTCCCGAAACGCTTTGAGAAGACCGTCGCCCCCAATGAATCTCCCAAAGCCATCTGATTTCATAAATATCTGGTTCCTCACGGTGCGATTTTGCCCCTGTCTTGGCGTCGCCGTATTCTTCCCTCGCTTTCCTCCCCAGCCTGCCTGTCGACACCCCTCCCCGGCGTGTCCAATCGAATCCTGTCGGCAACCTTATTGCGCGGTGTCGTACTAATGGGCCAGGTGTGTGTCCGAAGATAGGAGGGGTGCAATGGATGTGTTGACGCCCTGCCAGCGAATCCTTGTTTCGCAGCGGCCAAGCCATCGAGTGTTTGGGTAGCCCTCTGCTCTCTGGAACCTTCTGCTGTATGTCGTGTCTGCTCCAGGGCAAACAGCCGAATGGAGCAAGCGCCAGCCCATCACCTGATCCCAAATCAATATCTCCTCCTCCTCCTCCTACTCCTCCTCCTCCTGCTCCTCCTCCTCCACCTCCACCTCCTCCTCATCCCCTCCTCTTGGGTGAAGGCGAATGTTCACCAGGAGCTGCTGGCTAAGGCATCCGACATAGCGGCGTTGCTGGTGCGTGTTGACGCCGCGCCGCACAGTTGAGCAGAATGCTTCGTTACATTTGCGATGCTCATTTTCAGCATCCTCCCTATCTTATACTCTACTCTATCCACCCTCATTGGTGTTTCATCCCCATCCTCCTTTCAAAAATCCTCCCCAGATCTGTTCTGGGGTGCGCTTTGACAAACATCGACGGGAATCCAGCCGCGGCAACGAGAACGACCCCCCTAGAGGCTCAAAGACGGCCAAAGACGCCTTAAAACTTGGACCCTCGATCCTCGAACACCCGATCCTCCCTCGAACCCGCTCCCCAAGTAAGAAACGGGCCTGCCAGCAGGCACCCTACCGAAGTTTTCTCCTGCCCCGATGGCCCTGTGGGCCCACAGAAATCCCAGAGCACCTCGGGAAGCTCAGAACTCGGCGATAACCGTGCCCCCAGATTTCTTAGAGTAAGGCCTCATATCCTACGTGGCCACTACCCCGGCCCCCACGAAGGGGGACGACGACGACGACGACGACGACGACGACGACGACGACGGCAGCGAGGGCGACGGCGACGGCAACGGCGACGGCGACAGCGATTGTGACGGCGACGGCGACGACGACGATGATTACGACGAGGATGATGAAGATGAAGATGAAGATGAAGATGATGATGATGATGATGATGATGATGATGATGATGATGATGATGATGATGATGATGATGATGATGATGATGATGATGATGATGATGATGATGATGATGATGATGATGATGATGATGATGATGATGATGATGATGATGATGATGATGATGATGATGATGATGATGATGATGATGATGATGATGATGATGATGATGATGATGATGATGATGATGATGATGATGATGATGATGATGATGATGATGATGATGATGCTGATGCTGATGCTGATGCTGATGCTGATGGCGCTCTGCAGCCGAAGAAACGGCCCGCCGCGAGACACCCCTGGTGAACATCGAGTGGCAGGACTTCGAGCGCCACGCTGGCTTCGCGCACCAGGCCCGCGCGCCCCCCCCCGCCCCGGCCCCCTGGACGCGGGAGCGGGGGCCACGCCCGGGTGCGTTGCATTGCCGCCAGGCGATTTTGTTGACGACGATATCGTCGTTCTTCTGTCGCCCTCTCCTTCCTCCTCCCTCCCCCCCTGCTGCTCCACCCTCCTTCTCTCCTCTCCTCTCTCCATCTCCCTCCCTCCTCCTCTCCCCCCCCCCTCCTCCTTGTCTCCTCCTCCTTCTCCTCCTTCTCCTCCTCCTCTTTCCCATCATCATCAGCAGCAGCATCATCATCAACATCATCATCAGCAGCAGCATCATCAACATCAGCATCGTCATCATCATCAGCATTAGCATTAGCATCAGCATCACCATACTAAACAACACCATCATCAGCATCATCATCATCTTTGCCATCTTCATCAGCAGCATTATTTTCGTCACCGTCGTAGTCATCACCATCGCCAGCAGCAGTACAGCATCAACATCATCAGCATCATCATCAGCAGCAGCATCATCAGCGTCGCCATCAGCATCAGGATCATCATTGACATCATCAGCAACACCAACAGCATCAAAAGCAGCGGCAGCAGCATCATCATAGACATCATCATCATCATCACCGCCATCATCATCACCATCAGCATCCTTATCATCAGCATCAGCAGCATCATCATAGGCATCATCATCATCGTCATCAGCAGCAGCATCCGCATAAGCATCAGTATCATCATCAACATCAATATCAGCAGCAGCATCATCATCAGCAGCATCATCAGCATCGTCGTCGTCAGCAGCCGCATCAATATCAGAATCCTCGTCATCGTCATCGTCATCATCATCATCATCGGCATCATAATCTGCATCAGCATCGTCGTCACCGTCATCATCGTCATCATCATCAGCATCATCATCATCAGCATCATCAGCATCAGCATCATCATCATCGCTCCTCCCTCCTCCCCCTGTCATCATCATCCCTTCTCAAACTCCTTTTCTTCTCCTCATCCTCCTCCTCATCCTCCTCATCCTTCTCTCTCCTTCTCATACTCCTTCTCCTCCTCCTTCAACTCCTACTTCTCCGCCTCCTCCTCCTCCTTCTCCTCCTCCTCCCTACCTCCTCCTCCTCCTCCTTCTCTCCCTGCTCCTCCTCCTCCTCCTCCTCCTCCTCCTCCTCCTCCTCCTCCTCCTCCCTACCTGCCTCCCTCAATACCTCCCTACCTCCCTACCTCCTCCTCTCAAAAAAGACCCAGGGGCATCCGAGTGGTCCTCACCCTCGCCACCAAGGGGGACCCCTGGGCGTTGGGGTTATGGCCCCGGGTCCCTAACGCAACATAATCAACAAAAATCGGAGGTGAGGGGGTGAGATCGAAGTGGAACGTAGAGCCCCCCTACAGGGAAATCGATTTCGGTTTCGTGTTCGTGCGTGCCGTGCGGGCGAAGCGAAGCTGCGTGGGCGGGCGAGAGAAAGTCTCCTGTGGCTGAGGCGCGGCCGGACCAAATGACTCCCTTCCGGGCGGCCGGTGGCCCGCGGTGTCCCGCCAGTGTCCCGCCGGTGTCCCGTCGGTGTCCCGATGATGACGATGATGATGATAATAATAATAACAATAATAACAATAATAATAATAGTAATAATAATAATAATAACAATAATAATAATAATGATAATAATAATAATAATAATAATAATAATAATAATAATGATGATGATGATGATGATGATGATGTCGATGATGTTGTTGATGAGGATGATGATGATGACGATGATGAGGATGGTGATGGTGGTGATGATGATAGTGTCCCGAGGATGATGATGATGATGATGATGATGATGATGATGTTGATGATGTTAATTGTGATGATGGTGATGATGATGATGGCCATGGTGGTGATGATGATGGTGTCCGGATGATGTTGATGATGTTGATGATGATGGCTTCCCGACGATGATGCGGATGATGACGATGATGATGTTGATATTCTTGATCATGTTGATGATGATGATGATATGATGAGATGATGATGTTGATGATGATGATGAAGATAATGATCATGGTGTCCTGATGATGCTAGTGATGATGAGGTTGATGATGGTGCTGTTGATGATGATGATGGTGTCCCGATGCTCATGTTGATGATGATGACGATGATTGTGTCCTGATGATGATGAGGATGATGATGAGGTGATGATGGTGATGATGATGATGGTGGCCCGATGATGATGATGATGATAATGATGATGATGATGCTGATGTTGATGATGAAGATGATGATGGTGATGATGATGGTGACGATGATGATGGTGTCCCGATGATGATGCGGATGTTGGTGATGATGTTGCTGATGATGATGGTGCCCCAATGATGATGCTGATGATGTTGTTCATGAGGATGATGATGAGATGCTGATGATGATGATGATGATAATGGTGGTGTTCCGATGGTGCCCCGATGCTGATGATGTTGATGATGATGCTGGTGTCCCGATGATGAGGATTGTGATGATGATGATGTTGATGATGATGGTGATGAGGTGATGATGATGGTGTCTCGATGATGATGATGATGATGATGATGGTGCTGACGTTGTTGACGATGATGTTGATGATGATGACGTTGTTTGTGAGATCTATTGTGATATCGATCGACTGTGACATCGATAGTGAGATCGATAGTGAGATCGATTGTGAGATCGATACTCAGATCGATTGTAAGATCGACCGAATGAAATAGATCGAGTGATCTCGATTGTGAGATCGATTGAGTGAGATCGATCGCGCGAGACCGATAGTGAGATCGATAGTGAGATCGACAGTGAGACCGATTGAGTGAGACGTCGTTTCTTTCCCCCGAACCTCCTTATCACCCGAAGGGTGGTCGTATAGGTAGGTTAGGAGAAACGCACACAAATTACAACAGAGCAGACCTGGAGCAGCATGCAAGGGCGGCCAGGCGGGGGGGAGGGAAGAAGCGGGGGGAAGGAAAAAGTCGGGAGGCGGGGGGCGGTCGTCGGATCGCCGTGGACGTCGTGGTGGTGCCGGCCGTAGGCGGTGGGTGTCGTGGTGGCTGTCGTTGCGGCGGTGGTCGTGGTTGTCGCTGTGGTTGTGGTGGTCGTGGTGGTTGTCGTGATGGTCCTGGTGGACGAAGTGGTGGCCGTGCCAGGGTTGTTCCCGCCGCTGGCGGTCGCGCTGGTGGTGGTCCCGGCCCTGATGGTCGCCGCTGAGGGCGACGCTAGCGCCGCCGATCGCGATCGCCTGCGGAGAGGCCCAGAGCTACTGCCCGGGCGGGAGTCGCCGATGGAGACGAACCGGCGGCGCCCTGCGGACACATCCCCGTCGACGCGCGGGCCTGCGCCTAAGGATCATCTCCGCGCTGCCCTCGACCAGCGTACATTGGATGCGGCGCCACGCGGTGGCGATGACAGCCGACCGGTCCGCCTCAGGCAGTCTGCGCCGCAGGAGCGGACGAACGAGACGAGCTCATCCGCCTGCCGCCCTCCCGACTCCAAGACGGCCGGGACCAACTAGCCTCCCGAGGGGGGATAGCAGTTCCGCTTGACGCCCACAGCAGTCGACGCGGCCAGCCCCTTGTTGTTGGATCGTGCCCTCCTGCGCTCGCGGTTGTCTGAGCGTGCGCAGCTGACAGACCAATCAACATAAACAAATTGTCCGGTGGCCGCGGCGCGGGTCGCCAGTTCCAGGTGGACCTCTTCCAGCTCCCAGTTGCCAGAGTCCACGCGGCCCCAAGCGGGAATTCGTTTTTCGGTGACGGCCATGTGACCGGTCTGCGCCTGGTGGAAGAGCGTATTCCAATCGCGGAGGCTGTTGTGTCGGTGGTCGCGAGAGTTTCTGCAGCCGCACTTCAGGGGGTGCCAGCCATTGACGTCCAGAGCAGCACCACAGACTGAGCCGTCTCGCTCGCAGTGCTGGCAGGGCGCCCCTGGGGTGCAGACGTCAGCCTGGAGGCGCTTGCGTAGCCCCATGTGAAAGTGAGCGTCCAGGGTGGGCGAGTCCCTTTCCTGGCGCGGGAAAAGCCAACTTCTCGCCGAGGTGATGCTGCTCTCGCGCAGGGTAAGCCAGTCGATTCTCTTTTTTAAGAAAAATAGGTTCTACCACCATCCCCCCGGACTTATCGATTCCCCGGGGACCGACGCAACACGCGTATGATTCTAACCCAATGTCCATCCTACCTGTGAGCTCATACTATCCCAGCCAGGCTGGTATCGGTCCCCCCCCCCTTCCCCTGCAAAACAAATTGCGCGCACACTCGTTTAACAAAAATCATAAGATTCCAAGCATCCCTAGTAACAAACCGGACGAAGTGCACACGCGCGCGTCGTCGCGCGTGCATGCCGCAATCTTTCAAAAGCCTTCTGTTTTGGTGCCCCAAAAAACATGCAAAAAAACAAGGTTTCACAACACTGATGTTCAACAGAAGGGTGCGCGCGCGCTCTTGCGAATTCTCAAGAAAACCATAAGTGGTTCAACATGCTCATAATATGCTACCAAACGGGCTGCGCGTGCGCATGTCGAAATCGTTCGAGCGCCCTTGCGTGCGTGCTGGGGTGACACGATCTGTATCAAATGAGACCATGCGAGCCACTCTCGCGCGTCTGCCGCGCGCGCATTTCGAACTCCTTCCAAAACATTCATCACCGACGCGAAGACGCCGTCATCGTCGTCGGCGTGATCAGCATCGGCGCTGTCACTGGCTGCCCCGCCGTCGCTGTCAGCATCTTCGCAAGCATCGCTACTATCATCATCGTGTCTACCGTTGTCGACGTTGCCATGATACCGCGCCCGCACGAGTCGCCGAGTCGCACTGAAGTGCCCGCTGGGATGTGCCGAGCGGTCAGCGCCACCGCGTTCGCGTCGGTCGCGCCAAACGAACTGGCCGCTGCGCGCGCGAGCATGCGCGGGCTAGCGCGGCCGCAGAGATGCACCAGCCAACGCCCAGCACTCATCGCAATCGCTACCACATGGGTTTTGCAAACCAAGTTGCGGGTGGGTGG